CACACACACACACACACACACACACACACACACACACACACACACACCGAAAGCAGCTGATAGAAAGGAGAGAGACAGGAAAGGACTTACGTGGACTCCAAGGGCAGCCCGGCAGAACTGGTAGACTTCCTCAGACATTGGGGCACTTCCAACAGCGAAAAAGCGCAGACGACCACCCATTCGGTCTTGGATTGGTTTTAACACATACTTGTCCCAAAGGCTGCCGCGCGTGACAATGCCTCTAGAGAGACATAACAAGAATGAGAAAACCGCGGTGTAAGAGGAAGGTAGTGTAATCGCTACTGATTGTACAGTAGTCGAATACACAAAAAACTATAAATGTTCAAAATAGCAGAAACCGGCTGAGCCACCTCTTTCTCTATTCATTATTAACGTCGGAATCGCATTCCAACCAGATGGTTTCGTCCAGTTGGGAAAAACGCCTTCGGCTCCGCCATTCGATTGACTTTGAAGATTGCCTCGCCCTTACTTTTAACGGCAGTGCAGCAAACCTGTCGACCTTGTGGGAGGCCTTCTCCGATTCATAGATTGCTTCGAAAGTGCTTGAGAGAGGTGCTTTTTATCTTCGTTTTTACCCACCTCGTCTGCAAATGTGGCGACGTTACCGTATAACATAACTGCCTGGGCAGCAATCGTCAACTAATTGGCACAGCATAGTGCCTCAATCCTAGTTGAAACTGCTTTAGCGTGGCGCGTGCTCAGCATGAAAGTTGATTTTAATTTAACTTTTCATATCACTCAGAGAAATCTTGGGTGGAAATGACTTCGTTTTTTGCCTGGCTTGTCTTGTTGAACAAAAATGCAGCTCTCATTTAAAAGGGTTGAGAAGAATGACAGAGGTGTAGTTTTATGATGATGCCCAAGCAAACATTTTTTGCTCCAACAGTTTTTGGTAAAAAACTGACAGCTTTGATGAAAAGGTTGCAAGGACGACTGCTACCAGTCTGGAGGAGGCGCGGTTATGAACCCAATCATAGTCCAGCGACTTGCATTGGAAAAAATAAAACCATTCTAAATACGGTTGTATAAAGTAGGAGGAAACAGACTTACTCTCGGACGTAACGCATCTTTGCCTCAACAGCAGTCTTTAGGAGCCAGGACTTTAATTTGGAGCCAGAAACCGCTGATTGTACAGTACCGTACAATCGCTGGAGGACACGTGGTACGACACAGAAGAGAGTGGGACGACATGCGAGGATGTCATTTGAGAGATTCTTGAGGTCCCCCGAATAAAACCCGTAGGCCACACCACGGCTGAGGGAATAATGCTGAAAGGTAAAGTGAGCGGTCACTGATCGCAGGTCAGACGGGAAAAATTAGGCGAGGAAGTCGTCAAATCGGGGGAATGAGAGTGGCGTGTTAGGGGCTACTGGGTGAAGACAGTTGGATGGAAGGGGAAAGCTACTGGGCAAAAGAAGTGCGAGAAAATTCCGAATTTTCATTGGTTCACATCCCGCAAACTATCAGCATGAAACCGTGTCAGATACTGATAGAAGGAAAAAACGGTACAGACCAGTGTATTTGTACTTAATACGGCTCTGTTCATGTCTGATGTAGCCGGCCTCGATAATGTCACGTATGGTATCATACCACACGTGAAGATTTGCGGCAACGGATCTGGAAAGCTCCAGTCATTCTTTTCTCCAGCGACAGAGACTGAATACGGGGGGTCCAAGAACCATTCCCAACTGTGTCGAGCCAGGTCTGTAGTTGAATTTCTCTCCAACGCCTCCAGATGGGCAGTAGCGTCGGATTGAGAGCAATATAACTGAGCTAGTGTGGTGGACGAAGGAGAACGTGCCCAAACCACCTTAGTTGTCTTCCTTGGATGGCCTGAGATATCCTCACGATATTGTCGCAGTGAGTGCGGACTGTTTTATTTGAGAGGAAGTTGGTGTACTTCACTCGAACAATGGTCTTTAAGCACCTGAGATAATATAGCTCCGGTCTTCGTTAATCTTCAACGCGCAAAGCGCAGCATTTACAACCGTAGAGGACCGACTTGACGTATGCAATATACACACGTATCTTCGCAGCGATGGAGGTGTCGCGTTGGATCCATAAGCGCTTTCGGAGGATTGAAAAAACCCGAAAGAAAATCGGTGATTTGGAGGGGGAAGGGTTCTCATCTGAGGCTATCATCGTCAGTCACGACGAAACACAAATACGTCGACCTCAACCGGACGACCCTTACGGTTAGGTGACAGAAACGGAACCCGGGCACCCAGATCCCAGAATCAATCCACATAGACGGCGCCCTCCTGCATTTGAAACAAAACTCACGTAGGTGGGGAGCCGCGACGTGAAGAGGTCAGGTGAGTGCTTTCCGGCAGAAAAAGTCCTACGACCAGATTGCTACAGGCGCTTAGAGACAAAGCACACCGAAAAAACAGTACAAGGAAATCCAAAAAAACGCACCCAAATGCTTCGCGCTAAATTGGGATTCAGAGAAAACCCTAGCGCAGGATCGGTAAGTATCGGAAGCCGGTGTGGTCGCAAATGCTCTGAGGGCGCCGTGGTGAACTGGGTTGCAGTCAAGGGTGGGTTGATTGGCATCCACCCAACTGCCCTCACATCCACCCAGTTGCAAATGACGAGACACAGTCAAGACGACTGGAGATGAATATGAAACACTAGCTAAGGAGGCGAAACTGGCGTCTAGGCGTGAGCAACTGCTGTCCCCTTGGGGTCTTAGACTTTTCAATTAGGACAATTGCCATCATAAAGAACCAAAAAGTTTGACCTATTCGGTACGGCACAGGACAGGTGCAAATACTAGCATATGTGAATGCGCATTTCTACACACGTCTAAGGACAGTTTAGCAACAAGCAGACAGGAACAGGGTGGAAAATTTACCATGACAATTTGTTCGAAGACATGTGCCAGAGGAAGGAAGGATAAGTAGACGTCTCCAGGGACAATATTCTAGGAGGAAACAAAAATATCAATGCAAAGAGCACAGTTCAATCAATCACAACTCCTTTACAACTTTCTCTTTTAGCCAGGAGGGTTGCAAAGACACCTGAGAGCTAGCATTGTGCAGATGGCAAAAAGCCCGTGAAAAGTACTAGAGGAAAAACAAGCAGATGTCCTATTTGGCCCCGTCTAGGTTCTGTGGGAAAATATTGACTTCCGACAAACGGCGGAGTCCACATTATGTGGGAGCGCAATTCTATACAGTAGAAAAATCTGATGACACAAGGAGTGAGCAGAGTATGCGGGATCTAAATCTAAACCGAGAACTTTTATCGACACTGGCAAACAGGGAGACTTTTCTGCCCTAATGATTCTCACAACGGCATAATTGGCAACTTAGAGGACACATCGAGGAGACTGGATCGCTAAAACAACAATTGCATCCATCCCGCGCCTTGGATATACACTCAAAGGCACTAATACAGAAAGGTAGCGGAAACAAAGGCGGGGGGCGCGATATCTACATAGCGCAGTCGCTATGTCACTGCACAATAAATTTGTAGCTCTCGCATTCATTGCAGGTGTTAATAAGCCGTGCGATAGTGACTCGGCCGCCCATAGCTGAACCATTATTGTCTGCGACCGCATCCCTGGCGCAACAACCGTTCGGAAAGATGGCCCATCAGCGATGCTATCTGCAGCAGGGTTAACGGATGTGCTTCCTGTGTGACTAAACACCCTGCCTAGCTAAATCTTCTCACTGAATAGGGAGGGGACAGACAACTGTGTTTGCAAACTGGATAACCATAAACAAAACCCCTAGTAAAGATTTTGGCTCCATCGAACTTTGTCAAATAGGCGAAAACTGGAGTTTGTGTCGTTCCTGCTGAAACCTGATAGTTTCTTCCCAGTTCTTGCGACGTAGGTACTTTGTTTGCAACTGCAGCAGATTCGTTAAGCAACTTCAGATGTTTCCGGCAGCGACAATCGGTTCTGCAACCTCATCGCTTGTCTCTGCTCCGTGTAAAAGCCCAACTCTGAATGGCATGGGGTCAATGATAGGTTACGAGGCATTTTTTGGCGTACAGGAACGCTCACACAGCATCTGGAGTTCGTTTGGCTTTTGTCTCTTGTTGTATCTTTGCATGCACCAGTGAGACAAAATTAGATGGGCAAACTTGTTTTTCGGTTCCCTGCAGGGCGTCTGAAAACACTGGTAGACCAATCGGTACTCAAACGCGTTTGTGTAGGATGGAGTTGGTTGAGGCTGAACCTCAGTAATTGCGTCACAGTTGCCACCTTCCCGAGCACCACCACAATATTGCGACGAGCGCAGGATATAACGTCAGGCACGCGGCAACTGCATCATGTTAACATTAGCGTTTTGTGTGTTCG